GTGAAGGTCTCGAAGTTTCTCGCTTCAGGGAGAGCTTAAGGGGGCTTAAGAAAGGCTCTAGGGCTTTGACTCTTTGGCTTCTTTGTCAAAGGGGGTGGCTCACCCTCAGGTGGGGAGGGTTGGATTCTCCAGAACTTCAAGCTCACTAGACTTGTTTTAAAGTTGTTTTTTTTTGCGGCTTCTCTTTTTGTGGACTCCATAGAATCTTTTTCAAAGCCACAAACCATTTTCTTTGTGATTTTCAGACTTGTGGCCAAGAAAACAATTCTTGTTGTTTTTCCGACCAAGCAATGCACCAGTGTCCTTGGACGATTTGAAAATGGTGGAGCCAGGAATGGCGAAATCACCGTTGCGAAATCAATCGTGCACATGCAATGTTTGTCTCACAAGTCCGCGCATAGCGGATAGGATTGGCCATGTGCTCTTCCAAAACACGCACGATGAAACGTCGATGCGGCTTCAGGCAGCACAAGTATTCTTGAACGCCACAAACAAAGTGATCACGCAACACTTCGCGATGATGGCTTGGCAAAGGCACCAGCGGTGTGATAATTTTTAAGTGATTGGCGCGCATAGATAGTAGATTTGTGCTGGTAGCACTTTCGCTCTCCTTTCCATTGTCTGACTGCTTGCACCAGAAGGATCCAACTGAATCAGTGTAGGTGCCGAAAAAATGGATTTCGTTGGCAGCTGGATCTTGCACGCGTCGATCTTGGAGGCTATCCACGGACTGTGCGCAATCATTGCTTGTTGTTTCGATGGTACTGTTAAGGTTGACTTTCAGATGCCAAGGTTGGCGCATTGATGTATAACGTGCGTCTGCAGAATATCACTCTTGCAGACGGAGTGCAGTTGTCATGGTGAATCGAATTCAACTTGTTTGGCTAGGTCTGGCAGTTCGTCGCCGGTGTTGTTATCTTAAGCATTACTATACCCTTGGCTCTTGTGGGTTGGCACTTATATGTTGCACTCTGGCCAAAAAAATCGATTGTATGGGCACTTGACATGTTGTCTGGGTAAAGCTTGTCTGAGCCACACAGCTACACTTTGCGCTGCGCAAGTAGGCACTGCAGGCCATGTTGGTTCTGATAAGCAAGTATGTGCATCGACATCAACGAGCTGTTTCTGAAATTATGCTAGGTTCCGTCGTCGAAGGTGCACATGATCTTTCTTCCCTACAATATCCCTACCGACATACCGAACATGCTTTTTGTAACTTTGTCTGTGGCCAAAGAGCCGGTATCTGTGCTGCCATGAGCAACGAGACTATCAGCATGGCGGATTCTCCGGTGGACCAAGCACAAACAACTATTTTGTCGGAGAAGCTAGATCCGATTCTGACCCGTCTGATTGACATCTGCACGCAGACGTTTCGAAAGATACACGTGCATCCAGACGTGGCGCTTGGAGAAGATGAAAGGTTACTTTTAGCCAGGTCTGCTGACAAAATGTATCATATCGCAGGAGAAGTCCTTCTTGTAGTGCTTCCTAGCACAGGCGCAGTAGAGCAGAACAGTACAGCACTCCACGGCCGACCCCAGGAGTTGATACCCCAGGGTTTGACCCTGATTTGGGATGCATACAACAAACTCCGCAAGGGGAACCTTCCGAAAGTTGTGGAAAGTGTGACCGAGTTCCGCCGCTTTATGCAGCGAATTCTTGATGCCACCGGTCATGGTGTGGAGCTGGATTTATGGAGTTCTGTTTCAGCAGCATCTGCTGCAACAAGGATCTCAAGTGACTCCGGACATGCAAGAGTCTCAAGTGGGCGTGTGTCGAGTTGCGACACTGCCCCCGCAGCCGGCATGGCTTTCACCATACTCTTGAAGCATTTTCTTCGCGGAGGTGGGGTAGCCAAAAAGAAGGAAAGCTACCCTCGCTTGCCAGACTTCTGTCAGCTGCATGACCTGGGAGAGGAATTGCTGTCAGACGGCGGCTTGCCAGTGCAAGAGTTCGATCTTACTTTCGAAGACACGGTCTTACGGAACGATAATGTGAAAGACCAGCTTCACAAGCTAAAGCTCCATGGAATAGACAGCGCGCTCTTATTTCTGAAGCTCAGAGGTCCAAATCCCTGCAGCGTGAGCAGGGGAAAGTTTCTCATCTGCATTGAAGGCAACATTGGCTCGCGAAAGTCAGATCTGATGCAGAAGCTTGTGGAAATCAATGAACACAAGCCGGAGCAACTGAAAGTTATAAGGGAACCAGTGATCAAGGATCTCGAAGAGGGCCTGGCGCAGTTTGGGGAGGCCTTAGCAGCAGGCGAGCATGTGTCGGATCAGCAGAAACAGGCGAGCTCTGACTTTGAGAAGAAGATGTTCCAGCACCATTTCCGAGTGGCGACAGAGGAGAGGAAAATGCATGTGATTTCAGAGAGATCTTTGGAGGCGAAGATACATGTTTTCAACGCGCTCAGTTGTGAGCAGGGGCGGCTCATCAAAAGCTATCGAGACGACATGCAGAAAGAATACAATGACAAAATCAAAGGACATCGGCAGCATCAACCACACGTGGTGATTTTCTTTGAAATCCCCGTGTTGGAAGCCATGGACAGAATCACAAAACGTGGCCGCAAGAGTGAGGAGCACATAACTTTGAATTATTTGAAAGAAATCGAGAGGAGGTATGAGGCCTTGTACCCGCCGGGCGCTCCCAATGTCATCCGGGTCAAGTCTGACCAGCCCATGGAAGATGTCATAAATGGCCTGTTGGACGAAATCCGCAACGTGCTGAGCAAAGTGCCGACTGCATCGCCTGCAGCGATCGACGACTTCCTGAAGTTCTTTCAAGATGAGCGTCCGGAGCCGTCGCAGTGAGGCAAACTGCCAGCATATATTCTTCTCCTTGTATAGATGCTATGTTTGTGGTGCTGGCAGAACTAGCTGCACCACACTCGCAATGATCCACGTTACCCTGTTTGCTTCGATATTCTCGCATTGGGTACTGTTTTCAGGTATGTTATTCCTTGCCGTGATGTGAGACATGTTGAAGTGATCTTGGCACTCAGTTTGCACCACGTCTTCTTGCGACAACGTGAGCGTTCTGGATTGCGCTGTCATCGACACAGAGATCTTGCTGCAACTTGGAGGACTTGCCGACTTTCAGTATCTTTCGACAACAGAGCTGTTTGTGACAGGCACAGACAGCATGGAACCCGTTCCATCTTTGCTTGAGGTATCCTTTCTGTGGTCGCTTGTTTCGGGGTCATGTTGCACAAGTTTTTGCCCATCTCTAGGTCAGGCCTATGCGACATCCTGTTTAGAAAAATGCACCCCAAACCACCTGACCTCATTGGGTTTCATGGCGGCAGCTCTTCTCAGTTGTTCTGCGATGTAATCAACCCGAGCTGCTTGGTTGCAGTGTCAAGCAGACCAACAGCCGCAAGGCTTCTTTCTTTCCGCTGCATCATCTGTGCAAGCCCTATTTCGGGCATATGAATCCGACAGCCTGAAGCTTGCCTGCGCATGTGATTTTTGATGTCTTCCCCGGGGAAAGAAACGTCAGCGTGCTGGCATCATTTATATCCGTCGCTCGCCTTACGCGGAGGGAGGGTGGGATAGCAACACACGATTGCTGCGTAGTGTTTTGACCCACCCAACCCACCCTGTGAATTCTTGCTTTGAGCCCATCCCTGAGCCGTTGATGGAGAACGAAGGCCTGCCGAGCGACTGCATTGATTGCTTTGAATATTATATTTCATAATCTCGAAAGATATCTTCTGAGGGTTTTGAGAACCGCTTGCCCCTACTGGATGCTAAGCAAGCCCTATAAGGCAACACGCCGAGAGCGGCCTTCCTCACCTTCGGAACCGGACAATGGGGCAGTGAAGCCGAGTCCTGCCGCATTGCTGACAATTTCGAACGAACCCTAATCTGAAAAACCTTTAACCACAATTTCTATACACCGTAAGCCCCAAACCTTTAACTGTGCAAGAGCAGCTCGAACAGGGGCTTTGCTGAGGGAAAACAAGCGGAAGGCGCGGCCTTGATGGCAACAGGAGGGAGGCGTTTTGAAGTCGTATAATGAGAAGAGGGTGTTTTTAATCTGAGAGCGTGTGGCAGGAACAAGTCGCGAATCTCGATTCCGACCATGTACTAGAACTGCACGATGAAATTGGTGCGGTTTAACATGTCTTGATGCCGGCCGGGCTTCTCAATGCCGTAAAGTTGCGCGATGAAAGCCGGGAGAGCATGCTTTGCAATCGCATGATGAACGGGGTTGGTTGCATGCTTTTATCCCGGGCGGCGCAAAAGTTTGTTTGTCGTGCAGCAAATGCAAGAGGCTTTTGACAGACTGATGGAAACAGCAACGAAATCGTGAAGGTGTACAGTTCACGAACGTATCCAGCACCTTTGTATGCAGCATGTGCACCGATGCATCAACCCTTCGAACGAGACCGCCACAAGACTGTTTGATCAACACAATGCCACGATGCAGGTAGCTTTGATGTCTTGCTTGGCTCAAGTTTCGCTGTGGGTGCACGTGCTCATGTGGGAATTTTCGGATTGCCCCGAAAGCAATCATTCTCATTACCCTTGAAAGGTTCTTTGATTGTTTGTTTTTCGCGACTGCGTTTTGGATTCCAGATGCTACCATGCTCGTCCAGGCTGGGGTCTCAATGCATGCGACACGTCGCACGACCATGCAACATGCCGTGAGGTAGCACTCTGCAGTTCGATGCTGTGGATGTTGTAGACGTTGGCTGGCACTCCTGGGTCAAAGGTCGGCAAGCGATATGTGTCGGAACAGCGAGAGATTGATCCACTTTTCGCCAAAGCCATGCAGGAGTCGGTGGTAGCATGTTAGTGTCGGTTCGGACAGAGCAGACATGACCGCTTGCAAGGAGCTTTTAGCCAGAAGCAAAGTCTTCCGCGACACACACGAAGAGTGGCTCGGCAGCCTTTGTGCAAGCTTCCCCATGTCAAGTGTCAAGGTTGTTCCGTGCAGTATTTAGGCAACCATCCCTGGCGTTTCATGTCCTTAGTAGCTGTTCTGACATTAGGTTTTGGATGTTGTTGAATCGAGCATGGCCAGGTTCATTCGCGATCTCATTGTGTCGTGCAATCGAAGGGCGGCTTGGCTTTCACCTGCGCTGCACGTCGTCTTCTTCCAAGAGCAAACATCTCCACTCGTCGTTCCTGGCTTTCCTCGCCCTTGGTGTCAGGAGTATCCTGTCAATCGGTACATCATGGAAGAAGGAATGAAGGGGGATTCGATGTGCCGCTCTGAGCTTCGCAGCACGCGCTTTCATCTTCACAGCTTGTCTACAGACTAAAGTTGGCTCTGGACTTCACAGAGCATGCACAAACGACACGCTTGAAACATTGCTGTTTCGTGACTTCTCGGCTCTAGTCGGCAACTGTAGGTAGGTAGGGTCAAGAAAGCTCAGCTCTAATGTTGGAATGTCTACTGTTCCCTGTTCCGAGCCGTTGCAAAGACAGTGTCACGTGGGTATGTGTATATGTACATGGATACAACTATACTCTCCGAGGAACGCAGTGAGTGGTTTTGTCAGAGAGAGGGACCGACGGATAGACAGTGATTCAGGTAGGCAGAAGGAGGCGGGGGCGGTGAAACTCTCACCTGAACTTTGCGCAATGCAGGGCACTCTTGTCGTCAATGTCCCCCCACTACGGCATGCACCGTTCTTGTCACAGGCCTCTGAGTCCTGGCGAGCCGTCCCTCACTTCACGGGACAGCACTGGCATTTCGGCCTTCCTGCCGTGCTCTCCTTGGCCTGCGCTTGTAAGTCGAGGAGTGGCCGTGGGAGACATACCCGGAGCTCCGGAGTCGTTGTCCGAGCGGAGGCTCAGCAGACAGAAAGGCCAGAGCTTCCCGATCGCCTTGAGGTGGGTACCGGAGAGGAAGAGGACGAGTTCTTCAAAAAGACATTTCCACGCCCCGACCAGCTCGAAAAATGGGTGGATGGCAAGAAATACATCTTGGTCAAGTACAGCAAAAGCCCAGAGTGGGTACCTGAGGAGGATGTAGGCGTGTACCGCTTCTCACTTCGAGGCTACGAATCCAGAAATGATGATGGCAACTGGGTCTCTCATGCACAAATGCCAGAAGACACGTCTCATCTGACGGATGCCCAGCGTGAGCGGCTGATTTTGGAGTTGAGAGGTCAGGTGAACTTCAACCTCTCGGATGGGACGGACGAAGACGGCTTTCGGCCGCTCCCGAAGGTGCCTCCTCTGGAGAGGTGGCCCTACTATCAGATCGAGGTGAGTGAGCAGCTGAAAGTCTCCCCTGAAGAGCTCGAAGACTTTCAGGAGTTAGATCTCACCGAGGACCTTCCTCGCGCCTTCTTCCTGGCGAACCGGTGGAAGCAGGCCAACGAGGCAAGGCGCCACCTAGGATACAGCGTCAACACGACCCTGAATGATGTGGCCAATATGAACGGGACAGTCCTTGGCTTCAAGGCCATGGTGGAGCAATTCAAGCGAACCTCGAAGTTTCGAAGAAGGAAGCCCGAGGATCCCATCCCGTCAGATGCAGAGAGGCTCAAAAGCCTAAAGATCACCAGCTTGCTTGGCACAAAGAAGGGCTCCGCCATGGCCCTTTGGTGCTACAACAGCCGGAACCAAAAGCTCTTGGTGGATCTTTGCCTCGGTGACGACTGCATGGACCAAGGCCTCTATGCTGAGGAGGTGTTGCTTCGAAAGCTCATCTCCACTGCTGTAGATCTTGGAGCCACAAAGCTCTGGTGCCGCAGCAGGCGGACAGAAAGCGGCAAGGTCTTTCTGCCGCCGCCCATGCGATCTCTCGGCTTCACTGCCGTGCCAGTTGAGGAGCAGGAGGAAGAGGAATGGGAGGATCTGAGCGCACCAGTCACCAAGGCTGAAGTCTCAGAGGCAATCCCGGGTCTTCATTTGTGGATGACCACACGAGACCTTGAATCGTACATGGGAGCCGCAAACACGTGGTGCGATGAGATGGGGGCCACGGACTTGAACGAGGTAGCAGATAACAAGCAGGAGCTCGCCGACTTCCTGCAAACAGAGCACGGAATGTCAGAAGACGAGCGTCAAAGGCTGGTCCAATACTAGATGGACATCACCTGCAGCGAATAGGACAAAAAAGGCTTCGACTGAAGCACATCGCACTGCTTCTTATGTCTTCCTTGGCAGTCAGGGATTGCAATCTAGCAGCACTTTCACACTTCAGGGCTGCTGCTCCGAGGTACGTTCTCTTCAAGGGTGTGGTGGAGGCTCCGGGAGAACTGCAAGAGACGTCCGACAGAGTTTAGAGCGCTTTTGCGATAGTTTCAAGCTGGTTCTGGCAGGTCACCTCTGGAGGCAGATATGTCTGCAAGCTGAAAGACGGCTCCATCATCGGAGAGGCGCATGGATCATGATTGCTCCAGGCAGTGTCGGGACGGCATGGAGCTGACCGCTGTCGCATCCGTTTGCTCTGCCCAGACAAATGCCAGAGACCATGACTTAAAAAAGCAAGATGTAGCCACATCTTGTAGAAGGTTCTTGTCACCCTGCACTCCTTGATCCCACGCAGTACGTCTTCCCTATGTGTCACACGGAGCATTGATGCGTGCTGAACGGCCTGCGCCACGGTGGTTCCTCGGAGCATGCTGCAGGCCACGACTGTCTCGGTCTAGGAGATTCCAGGCAGTGCGAGCGAAGCGCAGAGGCTCCTATGGCTTATGGTGCTGAAAAGCCCGATGCCAGCGGAATGCAATTCCGACGTGACCCGGCCGGAGCCCCCAAGAGCCCTCGACCCTAAACCCTAAACCCTACCCTAAACCCCAAACCTATGGGTTCGGCTTGGCATTGTACGCCTTGTTCCGAGGTTTGCACTGCAGATGACTGCGGACCGCGAAGATACCTGTTCTGCAGCTTCAACTACAGGACCTTAGTAGCTGAGTAGGTAACCTTTAACCTGTTTTTTGGTTTGTATAATCCTGCCATAATTAGGGTTATATACGTAATCCAACCATAATTCAAAAGGCTAACCTGTTTTGAGCTAGGGCACTCAGCTCAGGCATGACTTGATGGATTATGGGATTTTGTAACTGCGAAGGGTTCCTTAAAGGGTTTCTATAAAGGATCTATAAGGCTTCAGGGTTCTAAGGATAGTGGGACTTAGTAACGAGGGTTACAAATACGGTGCCTGATCCTTCAAGTCTGACCTCTGGTAGACTCAGAGAGGATGTTGGGTAAACCCAAAACCCTAAACCCTAAACCCCTAAACCCTTAAACCCTAAACCCTAAAACCCCTAAACACAGTTGCAGGAACGGGCTCGGAGATCAGCGTTTGCTGTGGTTTCAAACAGCGCTGAAGCTTTCCAAGAGGTGTCTTGGCCGCACTGACAGATGCTAGGTTTAGGGCGTAGGATTTATAGGCTTTAGGGTTTAGGGTTCAGGGATTGTAGTGCTATTATGTTAGATTATGTGGTGTCATATTCTAGTATGTTCCTTTTTGGCGCACTGTAGTATTGTTATTTTTTGGTACTATCATGACTGTTACTGTTATTGTGAGCGTTATCATATATCTTATCCTAGACCCTAAACCTTAAACCCTAAACCCTAGATTATAGTAGGTTACACCGCTCTGCTGCTCCAAGGCTCGGCAGGACTCTGGTCTTGCGGCAGGCTTAGCTTCAGGGGGACGAGCTACTTGCAGGATCAGGGGACTTTGTAAGTACAGTTCTATTTACTAACGTCGAGGTTATGATTATGAGTGAAAATACGTATATTTACCTAGTTCATAACCCAAGGGACTAAGTCCCCATGATCCTTAAGTAGCATATCTGGTGCGGTGCGAGACACTTTCACACGCTCAGGCTCCAATGCAAAAATACACTTGCTGAGTCAGGCCGCCGTTTTGGGTGCCAGACGTTGATGGAGACCAGTACCAGGATTGACTTAAAGCTGGGTGCTGTTGCGTCGGAAGTGACAAGCAGCGAGCAGAGGAGAGAAATGCGCACTTCGAGCCATTCCACAGCTTGTATGACCCAGCAGCGTGCTCTACTGAGAATGCAGTTGCCAGCATCTGCCTGCTTGGAAGGAGTCTCTCTGTGTGTTCTGGCGTATGCATGCATGTGCTTCCAAACGAGCATACACAGCGCATCCTCCTGACATACTTTCTACTGTTCGTAGAAACAGTCTTCTAACTATTTCGTGTGTCATGTCTCAACTGAGTGGCGTGTGGAATGACTTGTGGCGCAGCAAGGAGAGGGACCATCTAAACTGTAAGCCCTTTAGCGAGTGGCTTCTTGTGGCGGAAAGGTTTGGTGACTACGCTTCCTGGATTTCCTACACGGATTTCCGAACCCAAGCAAATGCCACGATCGACGTGGTCTACATGACTCCCAGAGAAGCGAAAAATCATCATGGCCGAGAGCTCAGTGGATGGAGGGGGCATAGATCGTGGCATTTGCGAGCTGACAGCTCAGGCATCGACTGTCTTGCAGGGCAAACGGTTGAGATGCCCGATGGACGGATGAGCATCTTCGAAGATGGCTGGTGGTACTCCCGAATCAAATGCCTGTGGCTCAGAGCGAGTTCGGGGCCTCACAGGTAGCGACTTGGCGTCGCTGCACGTGAGGCATGGAAACTCGTGAGATGATGACACCCTTCTTGCAGAGCCGCGACGAGGCCTCCGCCAGCATGCTCTCATAAGCTTCGGCGCTGGATTCCGAGGGTTTGCGGTTTGGACGTGGGCGACGGAGGGAACGGACTAGCAACATACTGCTTAGTGACTCTAAACCCCTGAATCCTAAACCCTAAACCCTACAAGCCCTCGACCCTAACCAAGCATCACATGAAATATCAGGCGAGGGCCGGAGGACCGTGTGAAGTGCCTCCAAACTGCAAGGGGCGTCTTTGGACCGAGTATCGAACCGCTCTTGTCTTCGAACCTTGAAAGGGCTCATGACATGCCTCCCAGGAGCCATCTAAGTTGTTCTAGGAATCATAAAGATATAGCAACGATGATGGTAATAATGAACATGGAAAATGATGAGTCCTCCCCAAAAATAAGGTGAATGCTACAGGCAACATCCAAGTTGATAGCGGTGGAAGGAGTACAGCAGGAGATTGTGTTCGGGAGATTGGGCTCATCTCGCGGTTCAAAGCGGAGCCTTCCGTCCTTTTTGGAGGGAGGGTTTAGGCCTGGGCGCATCAAGGCTCGAGGGTTTAGCGTTTAGGGTTTAGGGTTCAGGGGTCACCATAGTGAGTCCTTTCAAATCCCTTTCTCATACTAAGCTGAGAGATGTGCGCAGGAGTGCTGGTAAGAAGACAAGGACCCCAAACCCTGAACCCTAAACCCTAAATCCTAAGCCCTGAACCCTAAACCCTGAAGCCTGAGCTCTAAACCCTAAACCCTAGAACCCCAAATCCCAACAATCCGAAAACCCTAAAACCCTAAAGCC